CTCTCGCTTCTATACTCTTGCTTCCCATTATCATCAAAGATAAATTTACAACCTCGCTTCCCGGAGAATCCGCTTTGTTCCTGACCAACGGAGTATCGAAAGGGCCCATTCCCGGATACCTGCCTCAGCCTCCGCTGATGGCTGATTCGTGATCTGGAATAAGCCAAACCGATTTTCACGCAGTCGCTTCAGGAACTGAACTGAACTGAACTGAACGGCGGGCGAACGAGCAAAGCGCTACGAAGCGCTACGAAGCGCTGGATGCAGCCAAGGCCAATGAGGCAATGAGCTGGGAGTCCTTCAGTGACTTGTGTGTGTGTGGGATCAGCATTTTCCTACCAACTCTAAATCCCTGCAGCTTTTCAGTCTACTTTAGCTACTAAGTCTTTTTTACGACTATTTCGACGGAATTTAATTTACTATCTCCAAGTCACGTTGCACTTTCCTCCATTCAATTGCTGTTTACGTTCTTAACGTTATTACTAAATTATCATCGTAATCGACAAAAGATATCTCGTGGAAATATTTGCCTTCGTTTTGCAGGTCCTGTAAAAATAGCGAAAGAACGCCAAAGGCAATGAAAAGATCGCGCAAGCACTGCTTTGGCAGGAGAACGTCATTCTGCAGCGGGGCTTGTTTATTTTACGGGCAAAAGACGTTAGCCGCGAGGAGGACCGCAGGCACAGGGTCGAGCGCCGCGTCAGTTTTCAATGTAGTACCTGCATTCGCGCAAGTCGCTTCGCCCGGATCTTTCTGGGCTGGGTTGGCTTTTTCCTGGAAAGCGAGCAGCGGCCTTCAGCCCGGACCTGTCTGATCGGCGAATAAAAGTGTCAGCGTCAATTTGCGCAAGAACAAATGATCGGTCGGATAATCGTGGGCTAATCTCGGCTAACGAAGACGATCATGCGGCGGTGGCCGCTAAGAGAAAGCACGAGAACCAAACTGTCTTGCTCTCGTTTTCGTTCTCATCGGTCGTACTTCCAGGCAGGAGAGAGAGAGAGAGAGAGAGAGAGAGAGAGAGAGAGAGAGAGAGAGAGAGAGAGAGAGAGAGAGAGAGAGAGAGAGAGACGCGCACGCATACACGCGCACAGAACGAGAAACGGGGCACACGTACGGCAAGTCTAACGATCGTAGGCATGGGGTCTCTTAGCCTTTGTTCGTGCGCCGCTTCAAATTATGTGGAGCGAGGGCCTGCGGAATCACCACCCTGTCCGGTAATTGGCGCTAGTGCTGTTTGTTTTGTGTCGCCGCCGCCGACAGATGGCTTGCGCGCCCCCGCGCTCTCGCGCTCGCTGTCCGATAACAGTGTTGCGAAAATGGCCCGATAAATGTTCTTTCTCTATCCGCCCCGACCTCCTACTTCTCGGAATCCAATTCCAATTTTAAAAGTCCAATTCGACAGTTGTCCCCGTGTCGATCCTTGTACTACTTTCATGCCTATTACGAGCGAGGTCGGGGATCAACTCGTCATTTCGTCTTGCTTTTTGCTTGATTGGATTCCGGGCGCGATCGGCTGCGTCTGGCCTCTTCTACTTCTGGCGACTAATGCAAATCCGATTGGCCAAGATTATTCAAAGGCCCACGCTTGGACAGTGGCATCCGCGAATGCGACCTAAATGAAACGACCAACGCAAACTGATTGACCGTCTTCTATCTTTGAGGCTAGGGACGCAATTTCGATTGTCAAACCAACCTGCAGTTGTCTCGTCATAAAAACGATCCCGAAATAAATGCCTTGTCCGCAATGGTCTGTTTTACGACAAGACCAAGACCAAGTAGCATCAGAGGGACGTGCACACAGGAAAAGGAAGAGCCGAGACAGGAAACGGTACATTTCTTACGAGAAGGAGATAAAAGAAGGTACAAAGTAACATACTTTCACGAGATTGTAAGTATAAGCAGTCGATTTATAGCCGAGTTTTTGGGTGGCTCTTTAGGTGCACGCACAGATCGGGAAAAGGCCTCGAATGCGGGAGGTCTTCGACTCCTGGGCACACCGCTCAAGACGGCGAAACTTGTTTGATTTTTTCGTGTGTGTAAGGACCGCCAACAGTCAGCCGTGACAACGGGACATCGACGTCAACTTTTACTAGCGTAGCAGCCGCTTTTCGGGACTGGAGTCCTGCCTCGCACAGCCAGATGTACGCGCGCGCGACCAATGTTTGAGCGATGCATTTGCATTAAAAGATGCCGCTCGGCGCATCCACCTATCCAAAGAAAAAGTCCAATGGAATATGAATGGAAAACGGATTGATCTCGATAGCCTTCGATAGACGGTCTCGCGAACGCGAACGAGACGCTGTACGCGAAGGTCTACAGGAAAGGGAACGATTACTTTTATTTGGGCAAAACGTGAGATAATTGAAAACGATCGATCGAGTAAATAGCCAAGGAAGATAAAAAGATTTTGTCCCAAAGAAGAGAGGGAGAAGGAGAAAGGAGACGTGATCGCGTGGTAAAGAGTGAGTCGTTTGTCGGTTTTGTCGCATTATGTTTGCTTTAGGTCGTGAAATCGGTTTAGCCGATCACAGTCGAGGAAACAAGTTGGAAGGAGGGGGAGAAAGCCCATAATGAAAGGTCGCAGTCGGTTATTAGCCGAACAAGGAGCAAAGCAAAAGCGAGGTTTTCGCTAAAAATCGGGAAAAAAGAGATGCTTTCTTGTGCTGCGCTTGCGCCCACAAAAACATTCATTTGGCCGCCTCGTTGGCGCAACAGAGTTCGCTTTGATGGCTTTATCGAGCGCGGCTCGCTGTTTCGGACACACACGTGTGCATTCAGCAGGCTGCACGTTTCGGTATTCCCGTTGTTGTCGTCCCCGTCCTTCCCTTATACGATAGACACTCCGTGCTAGCAGTAGCCTATTATGTCGCGCGCACGAGCTCCTTTTGAATTATGTGCGGAAACTTCACGTACAAAATGCGTCGTCGAGATTCGGGGAAATGTTGAATTGTTGTACGGAAGTCTTTGATGCCTGCTTTAGAAGTTAAGTCTACGAATTCCACGCCGGATTTAACGGTCGAGATCGTTTGTCACCATTGCCTATGCACGTGTCCATGGAAGCTTGTCAATCTCATTTCGATCAAATTATCGAACCTGTTTTCGGCAAACATCTCAGCATTTGCCAGTTGGAAAGCACACATCGCCAAACGTCGCGCGGTGAGCAGCTTGAAGTTTCGTTGTCGACGTACTACTGTCGACCGGTATCATAACAATTTTCCGCTCTGCCATTGTCTCTAAGGACAGCTCCCCGAAGAAAAACTCCAACGGAACACGCACCAACTAGCTCAATCGGTATAAATGGCCATATAAAAGATAGTTGACTACAAATCTTTCGAATATTCATGCCAACTGGCTGGCTACACTGTAGGCTCAAACGACATCGATTATCCGAGGAAAAAAGTAAGCAGGACAATACGCCTCCTACTACGGAGTACAATTCTCGCCCACACACACACACACACACACACACACACACACACACACACACACACACACACACACACACACACACACACACACACACACACACACACACACACACACACACACACACACACACAGATTCGGTCGCGCAGATTGACCGCTCTCTTTCTCTGTCTCTGTCGCGTCGACCCGCATTTCAAAGGAATACCGACTGTTTCCTCGATGCTGTTTGGAGGCACACACGTAACGCCGCTCCCCAAAAGCACCGCAAACAAAGTCACAATCTCTCTCTGCAAAAGCCTCCTCTGCCCCCTGGGAGCATTTTGATTGTGTGTGTCGCTATTTGCGAGCAGTCGGTTTCACGCGCATTTGTCAGCATGCGTGTACAAAGCGACACACGACATAGACGCGCTCGCCCTCGGACTTTCGTCCACCTCGAATCAAACGCTGCGCCCGGCCGACCTGCCTGCTCGTTACTCGCTTGCGCTGCGCAACGATTGATTGCGAAAACTGCCGTAGACGCGCGCAATGCAAATGAGCAGGTCATTTTGTCAACTATTTTCGCTGTACATACATGTAAACGCAAACTGCGCGTTTACTCGTACAGTCAAACAATTTTAAATGAATTTTACCGCGTTGCGTCGATTCAAGGGTTTCAAGGGGTTATCCCATTGATAATACGCGTCGATAAATAAGTAGATAATAGTTTTCATTAAAACTATTGATAAAACCATCAATAAGTAAATAAAAATGATGAAATATTGGACTTTCAACACCACTGAATTGACGGACAATAAATCGTAAGAAGTAACGGTCTTGGCTTTAAACGGCTTATTAAATGGATATTACATCTAGTGAAGTATTGGAAATATTTTCAAGAGGGCGATGGGGGTGGAGGAAGATAGGGCGTGAGCATCTCGGCAAAATTAGCGATTCCTCGTCCAGGTGCAGACGCACCTGCTGCACATATGGGAAACGCATTACGCGCATTATTTATGTAGTCTACCCTGCATTGTCTTACGAGCTTATTTATCAAGATTTCATGCAAACTTTAATAAACTATCATTATCCAATGGGTTTTTATGCGTTTTATTGAAATAAGGATTGCTATTCGTCATTATTATTTTGTCGAATGACTTGGCATTGGTTATTGCTTTGCAACAGAATGTATTTATTTCGTTAATCGAATATTTGTTGAATGTGATATTTTTATATTTCGATGAAGAGCGAGACGAATATTCTCAGAAATTGAACCTCAATATGGTTTAAAGTAAGCTCTATTGACAAAAAACGTTGATCGGATAACGTCCTTGAATTTCCCGGGAAGCTACTTTTTTAGCATCGATTGATTCGCAGAAAATAATATCAATTTCATTGACTTTCATGGTAAAGTTGCTAGTTTTTTTATTATTATTTTTTACACAGAAGTTGATATTCTTTGGTATAGCAATAAAATAACATGGCGGTGAAATGTGCATCGAAAATATTGAAACAAAATAGCGCGTTTGTTGACAAACAATATTGAGAAAGACAATTAATACAATTAATAAAGACCAAGGCAAAGAAGCAAAGCTCACCTTTTCATTCAGCATATCATTAGGAATGTCGATCAAAATCTGCCGATCCTTCTCCATCGTGATGACTTTGATGATCGACACGATATATATAAACACCAAATCAGCTCGTATCGCAGAGCAATTTCCAAAACATGCGGCGAAAAGCGTCTTACGCGAGAGCGTCAAAGATAGATACAACACTTCACTCACAACTCAATGACGGTATTTACACGAGACAAAGTGAGCACCAAAATAGTCATGGTCGCACGAAGAAAAGCGTGCAAAACTTGAGAAAAAAGCCGGCTTTACAAGCAAAAAACTCGCACAGCACACACGCGACACGAGCCGGCTCAGCGCCCCGGCACCTGTAGCTCGAGCTTGTTTGACTGGCCAGTAGCTGGCAGCAGCTGCTGAGTTGCCGAGTTGATTTTCAGTGGCTACCAGATGGCAGCAGTTTGCGGACACTGACTGAATTCGCAGCGGGCAGGCGCAGGCGGGCTTTTTATCGAACGCTTTTCCACTGATAACAGCGAGCTTTCACCTTGCCTACGAACACGAAGCTTCCCGAAGTAGGCTTTGTGGGTAACTCAGGGAACGACGGTACGTACTTTATCGACGGTAAAACGGCCTATGATAGGCTTGTTTATTTTGTGCTTTTTGATGTTGATCACCGCTTACAATCACTTGGCCACAGTTTCGTAGTATTTGTTTTGATTGCTTTGAATAATACCAAGAAGCAAGTCAATTTGTCTGTAAATCATTGTTTAATAAAAATGGCAAATTGACAAATACGTGGGGTACGTCTCGTTTGTCCTTGTTGATTGAAAAAAGTGGCAACGTAATTAAGACTGCTTGTGTCGCGCGCGCGGATGCCTGCATACAGTTGAATGGGAGGTGCGTGCTGTCGAGACGATCGTCACAGCGAGATAAAGAGACCGATCGCCAGACGCGATTGCCTTGATAGTCAAAGCCAAACGCTGTGAGGTTCGAGTCGATGAAACTCATTTTGAATGATATGAATGACGATGCAAACGAAGGCATAAACATTGTCACAACGATTGTTTAGTCGCTGGATTTTCATTGTTTGAAATACAGGTACCGAGGCATGTTCCACGGAGGATAATAAAGAGTCAAAGGAGAGAATGACGAAGGAGTAGAGGACTGCTGGCACAATAAAAAGAGAGTGAAAAAATTGTTCCAGGCCATCTTTTTTTCTGTCTTTCTCTCGACGCAGCGCCTAAATTCCAAGCTCGTTAATTTCTCGTCCGTGTGGCTCCTACCTCTTTTTCTTTCTCTCTCGTTCTCCCTTTGGCTCTCGGCCTACGTCTCTATTTCACGCGAGCGCCGCCAAGCTACAACGTTCAAGCGGCTAATTTACGAGGCGATTTGACCGAAAATGCGAGCGAACGCGGCGGTGCATCTCTTCACTTTTTTTACTGCACTGCCCTTGTACTTCGCAAGGCCTATGCATGCTAAAATCTCATTTCCTTACTTTAAATTTAACTTCCAATAGAAGTCTATTTGCATTTACGTGCTCGCCACGCCACGCCGCGCAGCGCACTCGCTACTTTACAGCTGCACTTCTTTTCTCGAGATTTATCCTCGTTTAAAGCCGCGTTTATCTTGTGCATTGCATCTAAACTATTAACGTTCGTGTTTGCGCTTTGCACTTGTCGCGAGCAACGACGTCAACTACTCGCTCAACTTTCTCTACCCAACATCATCACTGGCCGATAAGAATTATTCGTCAGCTGAAACTTCAAAGGAAAAGAATTGCGTACAGCGTGAAGAAAATTAAATCACCCGCCAATCCTAAACACGATTCCCTTATCCGCAGTGCAGATATTGATAAATGGATTGCCTCCATAAAAGTCTGCGACGAATGAGTCCGTTGCTATTCTAAAAATTCCGTAATAAATTCCTTGGTCATCTTCTCTTTTCACTTTCCATTCCTCCCGCACACTCACCCGCGAGTAAGTGAGAGAGAAAGAGAGCCGAGGACGAGGTATGCGGTCCGCTTGTCCCTTCTCCTTCATCCTTATCTCAAGTGTTTCGAGATTGGGCATGTTTTGTTTCTATTGTGCCTAATTAGATGCCGTTTAAAAGGCCTCCGAGAGGCCCTAACGAATCGACACCGAGAGGCTAAAAAAGAAAGGACAAGAGGAAAGAAGTCCGCACGACGAGGACGAAATCGAGGTGGACAGGGCGACACGCGGACTTAAGATATCGCGAGGGGGAGGAGGAGGCTTGCACGAGAAAAAACAAGAATACTCGATGACCAGGGATTACAATTAGGGAGGTGGCAATCTGCATAAATTCGACTAGAGTAACCGGTTGACTTTTGAAAGAGCTGCGGTCGCTTTAACTTGAGAAAAATAAGTAAGTAGAGAGAAGCTCGATTTATGCAATTTACTTTTTTTCGGGCATTTTCAGGCCACTGGCGTTTCCGGATGTTAATAAATGTTTAAGATATCGACAGGCAATGATGCCGCAATTATTTGTGCTGCGTCGATCGTACATTATTCCTGCAATGCATTGATCATTAAAAAAGAATCATGCTGATTGATGCTTACCGACATAGCAATAATGACTTTCTACGAATCGGCAGCCGATTGAAATGTGAAAAACATGTAAGACAGAAGTAAATGTATCCCCATTCGAGCGAGTGTAGATATAGGTTCGACCCACGTCAGTGAGAGAGCGAGAGAGAGAGAGAGAGAGAGAGAGAGAGAGAGAGAGAGAGAGAGCGAGAGAGAGAGAGAGAGAGAGATCGAGGAGATGGTAGGTTCGCAGGAGCAGTGAGCGATGCGTCATACACGTTGTGAGCAAGTCCCCGTCGTCAGCAAGAAGGAACCATGGTGTGGACACGATGTGCACCTGGGCCTCACACAGAGGCCACGCTCCTTATCTCAAAGAGTCTCGACTTCTTAGATAAGCCGAAAAGCTCGACCTTCGGCGTTTTCACTTTTGTTTTTTCTCTTCTTCTATCTTCCCTTCGTATTTTACGAGAACGCGCTGTTCGGAGCCCCACATATATTTTGCACTCCTCTAATGCCTCACTTGGTCCTTCAGCGCTCTATGCTGCAGCATACTACTACTAACTGAACGAGACTCAGATTAAAAGCTCGTACACTGGTTGGACTCTGAGCCCGTGCGGCTTTGTGGGTTACGTGCCGACTGATAGCCGCTGATTGATTTATTGTTCGGACTGGCTTATGCTAGCGCATGCCTCGTTGTGCACCTTTCGACCGTTTAAAAGCACGCGCTCGTGCTCGGAATACTTTGTTTTGGCTTTGAAAAATGCACGCTTTCCACGGAAAAATCGACACCGCGGGGGAGAAAGATCCTTTGAAATTGGCGTGTCATCTTAATTTGGAGGAAAAATGTTATAACGAGGCAAGGATTGACGAGGACATTCGTCATTGTCAGCAAAGAGTGTCTAGCAATTGAAAGCAATCGAAGTCCGCTTTAGAAGATTCAAGATTCGTAGAGTACTGCTAGCTCTTCGGCCGATCATCTTTGGTTTTTTCTGGGCTCTGGCTTATACGGCACACAAAACACACAACCCCCGAAAGAGTATGCGGCGAGGACTCACGAAAGATCGTGTTTGGCGAGGCGCTGTCGTGACTTTTGCCAATCCCAAGTGGTGTGGTTCAGCAAAGAAATCGATCCGAACGGATAAGCAAGCCAGGCCCTGCGAGATATTCAAGAATGCTTTTAGGCGCAAGACCAAGAGCAGCCTAATAGACGGACCATGTCCACCTTTTGCTCTTTCTTTTTCTTCCTCGCTCGCTGACTAACTCGCCTCGCTAGTCGACGTCTCTTAATGGGCATCGCGGAAAACATCTAGCTTTCACTGGCTTTGCCCAATTCAGCAATCCTAGTCGAGTATTGCTTGCCACGATATTGATTGACGGGCAATTTATTCGAAAAAATGACAATCCTTCTTAACTGATTGAGGTTCACGGAGTAGCCTATGGCCATACTTAATGAGGCGGTTAACAAAAGTCGACGAGGAAAACGAACGCGTCTTGAGGACCGAATAGCGTAAGGTTGTCAATGTTTTATAAAGCCATATGAAGAATGACCGGCTGTCCCAGCGAGTCCCAGCGAGTCCCAGCTGACGATTTCCTCTCTTTTTAGCCTTTGATCGTCGTTATTTTTCAAAGCTTTCACCTGGCAGCTTTATCTCGCAGCTAACACGTTCCACGAAAAAAGAGTTCTTGTACGAGCTGATAACGAGCCTCTGAACCTTCCTCTTCTTTATCTATAAATAATCGAGACTCGAATGTTAACAAGCCATGGTCGAAATTGAAATCACTGTCGCGTTGATAGCGCATTCTTCGGAAGCCTTAGAATCTTTCGGCGTGGGAATCTCATAACACGACGGGTTTTTTCTCAAATTAAATCGCTCGGATAATGTTCGAATTTACGAGAAGACTTATTTTTTTCTTTTCGCCAGTCTGTCTCTTGGTGTTTTCATGCGTTGCTTTTTCTAAAGAACTTTGAAATATAGAATGTCGATGAAATTATTTTCGGATAGTAATCGTCCAGATTAATTTATATATTTTATATCTGACCGAAGCCACAAAAATCTTTGCTGTTATTTTTCGAGCACAATCCAAAGCAGATAAGTCATTCCGAGCAATTGTGTAAAATAAACGACCTGAAAATAAGCTTCCAAGACAATTGTTTATCTGAACCAAGTACTCTTGAATAGTGTTACAGGCGGCTTTTTTATTACTTTGAAAGTCCGACAATGGGTATTTGACGTTGTATGCAAATAAACGAGCTCCCAGTGGAACTTATTTCTTCCATATTTAATGCCTTCATCACTTCTGTAGAATGACGGCGGTGTAATCGTAGCTGTTTGACGCTCTTTACAGGCCATTTACTTGCCGATTTATATTGGATTCAATGTGTTTTTCTCATTAATCAAATACACATCTAATTTTGAATTCGAGAAAAGGACGCGCCAACTACCTCCCGAACGCTGGCGCACAGCAAAAACCCGTCGCATCGACGAAAACGAAAAAATAGAAGGAGCAGAGTAAAAGTGCTCGCGTGTGTTGGCAAAGGCAGAAAAGGGGTGAAGGAATCCTGGGAACCGAGAAAGGGCCTCTCTTTTCTGCCTCGATAGTGTGTGTCCACGTATGGAAATCGAAGAGAGACAGAGAGACACATGGTTTATAGAGAGCTACGTTTGCGTCGCACCTCGTGTACGGTCGGCGCCACCCTGACGCCCTTACACTTGTTTCGTTCGCTTTGCACCGTTGGATTGCAATGCGTTTAATGGCGCTCGCTGCAGTGACTCCGCGCGTCCGTATATGCGAGAGGACGACTCGAAAT